CCATAACTGAACCAGGAAGAAATAGAAAACCTAAACAGACCCATAACCAGTAAGGAAATTGAAGCAGTAATCAAAAGTCTCCCAACAAACAAGAGCCCAGTGCCAGATGGCTTCCCAGGGGAATTCTACCAAACATTTAAGGAAGAATTAATACCTATTCTTCTGAAATTGTTCCAAAAAATAGAAATGGAAGGAAAACTTCCAAACTCATTTTATGAGGTCAACATTACCTTGATCCCAAAACCAGACAAAGACCCCATCAAAAAGGAGAATTACAGACCAATATCCCTGATGAAAATGGATGCAAAAATTCTCACCAAAATACTAGCCAATAGGATCCAACAGTACATTAAGAGGATTATTCACCACGACCAAGCGGGATTTATCCCTGGGCTGCAAGGTTGGTTCAACATCTGCAAATCAATCAATGTGATACAATACATTAACAAAAGAAAGAACAAGAATCATACGATCCTCTCAATAGATGCAGAAAAAGCTTTTGACAAAGTACAGCATCCTTTCTTGATTAAAACTCTTCACAGTGCTAGGGATCGAGGTACATACTTCAATATCATAAAAGCCATCTATGAAAAACCCACAGCGAATACCATTCTTAATGGGAAAAAAAATGAGACCTTTTCCCCCAAGGTCAGGAACACAGCGGGGATGTCCATTATTACCACTGCTATTCAACATAGTACTAGAAGTCCTAGCCTCAGCAATCAGACAACAAAAAGAAATAAAAGGCATCCAAATCAGCAAAGAAGAAGTTTATTAATTTTATTGATTTTTTTTTTTTTCCTAAGAATCAGCTCCTGGTTTTGTTGACCTGTTCTTTTTTTTTTTTTTTTTTTTTTTTTTTTTTAGTTTCTGTATCATTTATTTCTGCTCTAATCTTTATATTTCCTTCCTTCTGCTGGTTTTAGATTTTGTTTGTTGTTCTTTTTCTAGCTCCTTTAGGTGTAAGGTTTGTTTATTTATTTGAGATTTTTCTTGTCTCTTGAGATAGGACTGTATTGCTATAAACTTCCTTCTTAGAAACACTTTCGTTGCATCCCAAGGTTTTTGGACTGCTGTGTTTTCATTTTCATTTGTTTCCTTGTACTTTTTTTATTTCTTATTTTATTTCCTGGTTGATCCATTCATTGTTTAGTAGCATGCTATTTAACCTCCATTTATTTGTGGTCTTTCTAGATTTTTTCTTGTGGTTGACTTCTATTCTCATAGCATTGTGGTCATAAAAGATGTATGGTATGACTTCAATCTTCTTAAATTTGTTGAGGCTGGTTTTCTGGGCTAATATGTTATCTATTCTGGAGAATGTTCTGTTTACACTTGAAAAGAATCTGTATTCTGCTGTTTTAGGATGGGATGTTCTGACTATATCTGTTAAACCCATCTGTTCCAGTACATCATTCAAAGCTATTTTTTCCTTGTTGCTTTTCTGTCTATATGATCTGTCCATTGATACAAGTGGGGTGTTAAAGTCTTCTACTACTATTATATTACTGATTAGTTCCTTTATGTTTGTTATTAACTATTTTATGTATTTGGATGCTCCTATGTTGGGTGCATAAATATTTACAATTGTTGTATCTTCTTGTTGGATTGTCTCCTTTATTATTGTATCATGTCCTTCTTTGCCTCTTGTTATAGCCTTTGTTTTAAAGTCTGTTTTGTCCTATATTTAAGTATTGCTACTCTGGCTTTCCTTTGACATCCACGTCCTTTGCATAATAGCTGTTTCTCCATCCCTTCACTTTGAATCCGCAGATGCCTTAAGTCTAAAATGTGTCTCTTGTAGGCAGCATATAGGTGGGTCTTATTTTTTTTATCCATTCTGTCACCCTATGTATTTTGACTGGAGCATTTAGTCCATTTAAATTTAGAGTAACTATTGATAGATATGCATTTGTTGCCATTTCATTACTTGTTTTGTGGTTGTCTTTGAAGATTTTCTCTGATCCTTTCTTGTCTTTCTCTCATGTTTTGGTGATTTTTTTAGTGATATATTTGGATTTCTTTCCCTTTATTTTTGGTGTATTTATTAGTTGTTTTGGCATATTGTTACCATTAGGTTTGCATATAACTTCTTCTGCATATATCAGTCCATATTAAATTGATGGTTGTTAAAGTTTGAACCTATTCCTCCCCTCCACCCACATTTTAGATATATTGTATCATGTTTTATACCCTTCACTATTTTTTATAGAAATATTCATTTTTATTACTTTTGTGTTCCCTGTTTTGTGTTACACTGTCACTTTTGGTCTCTCCTTTCCACTCAGAGTTCCCTTTAATATTTCTTGCAGGGCTGATTTAGTGGTCACAAACTCCTTTAGTTTTGGTTTGTCTGGGAAACTCTTTATCTCTCCTTATACTCTGAATGATAGTCTTGTTGGATAGGTATTCCTGGCTGCAGATTGTTCCCATTCAGCACTTTGAATATATCATGCCACTCCCTTCTTCTGGCTTAAAAAGTTTCTGTTGTAAAATTTCCTGCTAACTTTATGGGTTTTCCCTTGTAAGTTACTGACTTCTTTTGTCTTGCTGCTTTTAAGATTTGTTTTTCTTTATCACTATATTTTGCAAAATTAATTACAATATGTCTGGTGTGGGTCTGCTTTTATTGATTTTGATAGGAGTTCTTAGTGTCTCCTGGATCTGGACATCTGTTTCCTTCCCCAGATTAGGGAAGTTTTCAACTATTATTTCTTCAAATAAATTTTCTGCCCCTTTTCTCTCTTTTTTTGGGACTCCTATAATACGAATATTATTGCATTTGATGGAGTCATTGAGTTCCCAAGTCTTTTCTAGTTTTGCATAACTTTTTTCTTTCTTTTGTTAAGCTTGATTACTTTCCATTAATCTGTCTTCTCTGTCATTAATTCATTCCTCTGCTTCTGACATCCTGCTATTCATTCCATCAAGCGTGTTTCTCATTTCATTTATTGAGCCCTTTATCTCCACTATGTTATTTCTTATCTCTGTGTTAAGGCTCTCACTCATATCTTCCACTCTTTTCTCAATTCCAGTGAGTATCCTTATGATCATTGTTTTAAATGCTTCATCAGGTGTGTTACTTATATCTGCTTTGCTTAGATCTCTGGTTATGGCCTTGTCCTGTTCTTTCATTTGGGATAAATTTCTCTGTCTTCTCATTTATCTACCTCTGTGTGTCTGTTTCTCTGTGTTAAGAAAGTCAGCTATGTCTTCTGCTCTTGAAAGTAGTGACTTTATGAAGGGGAGACCCTAGAGTGCGCTGCAGTGTAGTGTCCCCTGTTCACCAGAACCTGGCACTTAAGGAGAGTATCCTATGTGTTTTGCTTATAACCTGCTGTTGTGTTTGAGTCACGTTTCCTTTCTGTGCAGTCATCTGTACTGACTCTGCCTGTTGTGGGCTGTGCTTCCTCTCCGTGGTGTTAATGGGACTCAGGCAGGCCAGTTCTGAGGGGACTTGCCTGAAGGGGAAATTGGAAGTGGGGCAGCAGTGTTAGCAAGATTTGCATTGGGCCACTAGGCCTATGCTGGATCCCCCAACATGCTGCTTTACCTGGGAACTGTGTGCCAGGGCAGCCGGGAGCATAAGGCTGGGCCCAGCATGTGATGGTGGCCAGGGGCATGCAGCTATGCATGGCGTGGTGGCTGGGGGCATGCAGCTAGGCATGGTGTGGTGGCTGGGTGTGGCACACAGCAGCAGTTGTGCACCTGGCAGCTGGACAGGGCACACATGCAGCTTTAACAAAATTTGCCCTGAGCCCTGGGCCAAGGCTATAAGTGTCTTTATAGCCTTGCCTCCTGCAGGTGGTTTTGTATTTATGCTGGGGAGTGGGGAAGGAAAAGGCGCCTGCCAGCTCCCTCATTTTTGGAGAAGTCTACCAACACATCTGAAGTCAGTATGAACAGATCTGTTTCCCATTTGCCCCCAGCATTGTGTAAACTGTCATTTTTATGTTGGCTCTTTGCACAGGCTGCTGTCCCTTTAAGGGTGATGACTCAGCTATCACTTGACCTCCTGGCTCACCCAGTGCTGAGTTAGGTGACTTTTAAAGCACTGGTTATCAAACAGGAGGAATTCAGCCCTTTTAGTTTTTAAAGCCAAATGTTATGGAGATTAGTTTTCCCTGTGTGAGCTGCCTGTTGTGAGGGCCCATTTCTCTGCCCTCTTCAGGCAAGCAGCTCCCTCCCTCCTGAGGGCAGTCTCTCTCTATCTTTCTGACCTTCCTAATGTTTCAGAGGCAATTTCTTCTCTAAATTTAGTTGTAGAGTTTGTTCTGCCAGTCTTCAAATTGAGCTCTGGTTTACTAACTTGGATATGGATGATAACCTAGCTGTAAATGTGGATGGGGTGAGCTCAGGAATCCCTACTATATCATCTTCCCAAGCTCATCCTCTCAGGACTTTACTATAATATTGACATTATTATTATCTATACATTTTTTTCTTCTTACAACATATTTACCATGTCTTAGTTTAGCCATCATGTCACAATTTTACTAGTTCTGGCTGTGGTTGTCTCATCCTAGTAAGTGCTTTAATTTCATACTGAGTTACTGATAATGATAGAGTTGGAGTAGATATATAGGACAAGAGAAAGTAATAATCATTGATTGCCTCTACATGCCAGCTTTAATGCAGGAACCTTCATTAACTCATCAAATGTGTGCTTTCTGTGTGCCAGGCACTGTGCTAAGTGCTTGAATTACAAAGCCAAACTAAACATGATTCTTGTCCTTATTTTACTACATATGTATATTTTACATACATTTGGCAGATGAAGAAACTAAGACTGATTAACTAGCCCAGGGTAAGGCAACTAATGAATAATAAAGCCAGTATTCAAATTCAGCTCTGCATGGTACCAAACCCTTGCTCATTCTCACTGCAGCAACTGATCTGCCTTTTAAGAATAAATAAAATTACTGACATTATGTGTACAAATTCCAACTTTAAATTGTAACATTTATGTTTTTAATTTCATACATGTTTTATTTTTTAAGCCTGACAGAGAAAATCAAGATTCCTTGTTCGACAGAATTTCAGAAAGCTATGTGATACTTTTCATGAGCATCCCTACAAGTCGAAAAGATGCATTCCTTCAGGTAAACATAGAAATTAACTGGTTACACTAAGCATTTTTAGAACAAATGAAATTTTAAAAATAGTCATTTTATTTAAACACCTATTAGAACATATTTTGTTACTTTGAAAGCAAATTTCCTGAAGTAAAGTAAGTAATGGTCATGTTTTAAAAGTTATGTTTCCCCCTCATTATATTGTATTCCATTGCCTAAAAGTCTTACAGAATCTCCTTAGTGTGGTATAGGCATTTTGTTTGCATATTGATAATTTGAAAACCACTATCTTATTCTGTGTATATTCTTGGTTTTTTGTTTACCTATAAAATTATCATTTTTCTGTAATCATCAAGAGCTGTAATCATCAAGACAGTAGGGTACTGGCACAAAAACAGACACATAACACCATACACAAAAATAGACTCAAAATGGATGAAAGACCTAAATGTGAGACAGGAACCCATCAAAATCCTAGAGGAGAACACAGATAGCAACCTTTTTGCCCTCAGGCGCAGCAACTTCTTCCTAGAAACATCACCAAAGGCAAGGGAAGCAAGGGCAAAAATGAACTATTGGGACTTCATCAAGATAAAAAGCTTTTGCACAGTAAAGGAATAGTCAACAAAACCAAAAGCCAACCGATAGAATGGGAGAAGGTATTGGCAAATGACATATCAGATAAAGGGCTAGTATCCAAAATCTATAAAGAACTTATCAAACTCAACACCCAAAGAACAAAGAATCCAATCAAGAAATGGGCAGGAGACATGAACAGACATCTGCAAAGAAGACATCCAAATGGCCAACAGGCACATGAAAAAGTGCTCAGCATCACTCAGCATCAGGGAAATCCAAATCAAAACCTTAATGAGATACCTAGTCAGATACCTGACTTAACTCTAGTCAGAATGGCTAGAGTTAAGTCAGGAAACGACAGATGTTGGTGGGGATGCGGAGAAAGGGGAACCCTCCTACATTGTTGGTGGGAATGCAAGCTGGTGCAACCACTCGGGAAAGCAGTACAGAAGTTCCTCAAAAAAATTGAAAATAGAGCTATCCTATGACTCAGCAATTGCACTACTGGGTATTTACCCCAAAGATACAAGTGTAGTGATCTGAAGGGGCACTTGCACCCCAGTGTTTATAGCAGCAATGTCCACAATAGCCAAACTATGGAAAGAGCCAAGATGTCCATCAACAGACGAATGGATAAAGAAGATGTGATAAATACACACACACACACACACATACACTGGAATATTATGTAGCCATCAAGAAACCAAAATCTTGCCTTTTGCAACGACATGGATGGAACTAGAAGATATTATGCTAAGCGAAATAAATCAATCAGAGAAAAACAATTATCATATGATCTCACTTACATGAAGAATTTGAGAAACAAGGCAGAGGATCATAGGGGAAGGGAGGGAAAAATGAAACAAGATAAAACCAGAGAGGGAGACAAACCATAAGAGACTCTTTTTGTTGTTGTTAAGATTTTATTTGTTTATTTGACAGAGAGAGAGACAGGGAGAGTGGGAACACAAGCTGGAGGAGTGGGAGAGGGAGAAGCAGGCTTCCCTCAGAGCAGGGAGCCCGATGCGGGACTTGATCCCAGGACACTGGGATCATGACCTGAGCTGAAGGCAAACACTTAACAACTGAGCCACCCAGGTGCCCCACAATAAGAGACTCTTAATCTCAGGAAACAAACTGAGGGTTGCTGGAGTGAAGGGGGTTGGGAGGAATGGGGTGGCTGGGTGATGGACATTGGGGAGGGTATGTGCTATGGTGAGTGCTGTGAATTGTGTAAGACTGTTGAATCACAGATCTGTACCCCTGAAACAAATAATACATTACAGTATTTAAAAAAATAATAAAAATAAAAGAAAAATAAAATGTGTAGGAATTTCATTACATACTTTTAAATTTAAACATCCAGCACCTCAAAGCAGAAGTCACATTCAGATGCTTTGTTGTGTTGACATCTGTAAATCAGATATACATTCATATTTTGGAGTTGATAACTGTTTTCTTGGGTAAAACAAACTTAAAAACAGTAAAATATCCTTCACAATGAAAATATAAACAAACTTACATTGCCAGACAATATGTTCAGTCTTCACCTATCTTTCTTACTCAAAGCCATATATGTGCAGTGTCTATAAAAGGAAACCAGTAGTGGACTGGGAATAAGACTTGGTCTCATGTTCAGAATCTGCTACTAATTACCTGGGTGATCTTGGCAACACATTTAGTCTCTCAGTTCCATAGCTGGAAGAGCTTGATTAGAACTGTGATTCATAAATTGTCATTTTGTAGAATAGTGGTGTTCTGAAAGATGGACTAGGATTTTCTCTGCTAATTTTGAAATATTTTTTCTTATTTCCATATAAAAGCTAGTTAATGGTTAGGATTTTTGGCAAATTGTCTAGAAATGACAAAAACAGCTGTTTCTCCTATCCATAATCTTTTACTTAGTCTATCCTTTTGTGGTGAATGAGCCTAGCCTACCCACATGGTTTGATGAAATCAAGTATGCTTTAACATAATGCTCTTGAGAAAAGGATAACAGGCCTATTTAAAGTGGGCAAAGAAAGTACTGGCACCATTGCATATCCCCCATTCTCCAATTTATAGCCCTACACTTTTGGTCCAAATGTTCTCCCCTGGGATGGATATGCCTTTCGATAGATGTTATATTTATAACCTTTCTCAAATCACGACTTGATTTTCTTCTGGGTCCCTATTTTTGTGGCTTTTTATGAGGAGAAATAAGAAGTTGTTTAATCAAGATTCAAAGCCTCTTTGAGAATAAGATGTACATCTTGGTGATTTGACCCCTTGGCCTGGGTTCAGTCTTCTTTTAATACTTCCCATTTATGCTTGATAATGAGGACACCTTGCTATACATCTATCTCCCCCAGAGCTGTTTAAGTAGAAATAAAGTCTTATCTCTTATTGACAAATTTCCATTATTTTTAACTCATTCAAACAAGTCAGGGTTTTGTTACTGCTTGCTCATCTGATTTACCTTGGACCTAACAAAGAGAAATTTATTAATTTTTAAGAATTTTAAAGTCATCGTCATGTCCCACTATTCAGTACAAATTAGCTGAATCTAAACATATTTAGTGTGACTTTTACTTCACTTTCTTCCAGTGTCATACAATGATAGACCTTCAGAAATTTTCCCAACACAATTTGACACTTGATCCTTTATCATGAAGATGAGATATTCACAGAAAGCTTTTAGAATTTCCCCTTATTCACCTTGTTCAACCTTTTAATTTTAATAGTATGATTTTTTATACTAAAATATATGATTGTTCCTGGTAGTAAAAATGTTCATGATTCATTTCAGTAAAATTAAATATACAAATATGTTAAAGCATTCCCCACCACCACCACCAAAAAAAATCATGGAGTTCTTCAAAGAATATTATCACTTATCAGCAAATATTATCACTTACCACCTGGAGTAGATGACTGTATTAGTTTCTTATTGTTGCTATAACAAATTATCACAAATTTAGTGACTTTTAAGACAATAAAAATTCATTGTTTTAGAGTTATAGAAGCCAGAAGTCCAAAAATGAGTCTTCCAGGACTAAAATCAAGGTATCAACAGGGCCAATTTCTTTAAGAGGCCCTAAAGGAGAATCCATTTCTTGCCTTCTCTAGCTTCTGGTGGCTGCCAGCATTTCTTGGATTCTGGTCATATTATTCTACTCTCTTTTCTCTGCCATCCCATTGCCTTCTTCTCTTCTGTAGTAAAAATTTCCATAGCCTTCCTCTTATAAAGACATTTGTGATTGCAATTAAGGCCCACTGGATAATCCAATATAATCTCCCCATTTTAAGATCTTTAACTTAATGAAATCTGCAAAGCCCTTTTGCTGTATAAATGAACATTTACACACTCCCAAGGATTGGGACAGTGACCTCTAAGGGACACTTAGATTGCAAAATTTTACATTTAATATTAAGGGCTAAATGTGATTTTACATATTTATTTGGTTGCTGAGTACCAGAATAATAAATAAAAAATTTTTTTAAAAAATTTAAAGAAAAATGTAACTTTTATGTTTAGTTACTTCCTAAGAGGAATTTAGTAGTTTAGGGATTTTAAGTCTAATAGAATAATGGTAGAACCATATATTTGTTGATATCCGATCATAGTTTTCATATGTAAACAATACAGTAGTAACTGCAATATATTAACTCACCTAAACAGACTTAAGTTATTTAAAAATATGCTTGCGGGATGCCTGGGTGGCTCAGATGGTTAAGCATCTGCCTTCGGTTCAGGTCATGATCTCAGGGTCCTGGGATTGAGCCCTGCATCGGGCTCCCTACTCAGCAGGGAGTCTGCTTCTCCCTCTCGCTCTACTGTTCCCCCTGCTTGTGCTCTCACTCTCTCTGTCAAATAAATAAATAAAATCTTTAAAATAAAATAAAGTAAAAATAAATAAATAAATAAATAAAAATATGCTTGCTACTCTTACCACCCCCCCCCACACACAGAATGATAATTATGTGAGGTGATAGAGGTGTTAGTTAATGCTATAGTGGTAATCGTATTGCAATATGTAAGTGTATCAAATCAACATGTTGTATACCTTAAACTTACACAGTGTTATATGTCAATTATATTTTAATTAAAAAATACATAAATATACTTTTTATTATAATGATCTGTATATGTCACTTTCTAAAAGAGGATAACAATACCAAGGTTAAATGAAATAATCATCAAACTTTATCTTAAAATATAATCATCAAACATAATCTTGTTAACTTCATCCTTTATCCAAATTAAATTTTCTAAATGAAATAATCATCAAAACTTAAAATAGAATCATCAAACTTTATCTTAATTGTTAACTTCATCTTTTTATCCAAATTAAATTTTCTAAAATGTGAACAAATAGCCAAATTGACTTTATTTTCAACTCTTCTTTGTTCATGTCCCTCAATTAGGGGTACAAAGAAGTTATAAGTGGCCAAATGCAAGCTATAAGAAAAAAGGGACACGTATTTTCACATACTTAATAATAATTTCTTTGGTAGTTGACATATACTATATAAAATATAAAATTATTCTAATATGACTCTATTTTTGGTAGGTGTATCCTGACTGTTTGGCACAGGCCATCTATGCAACATTCCAGGAAGCATTTCCAGAATCGAGTAATTTTTTTAATGATGAATTTAAAGAGGATCTGGGGAATAATATTTTTCTCTGGTTGTCAGGTATGAGTATATCATTTACATATTGATCATTATTTTGATACCTGAAACTATTCGTATACAGTATCTTGTTTACTCCAGCTAAAAAAATTGGTAATTCTTTGCCTTACAAAACATGCCATATTGATGCCTATGTTTTAAAAAAATAATTATTTATTTTCTTCTGTAAGTTTTGCTATAACAAAATTAATCTGTTATTAGCTTTAGAAGCCAAATAATTTTATAGCCAATGGAATTATTATAGAAAATTGAATTTCCATAAAAATAAAGTTATACTATATATATTTATATTTGGAAGGTAAATAGTTTAAGTTTCCTTGGAATGCTACTGACCTTTTTATGGCAAATAATACTGGTTAAATTCTAGAGCTAACTGAGTTCCTTGCAGAAATACAATCAATCACTAATCAAGGAAAAGTTGTTTTTTGAATCATGGTATATGTGTAGGTGGGAGTGATAGGACTGCAAGGCTGAAGGAAAGTAAAGTTCTATCCTAGAGCATTTAGCTAGAGATTTAGGTACTTGAGTTTAAAACTAACGTATAGTTTCATATTCCGGAGTGACCTTCCCAACAATTTTTTTTTTTTTTTAAGACTGCTTTACTCTTATGGACTACCAGACGCTATTTTCAAATAGTTCTTCTTGTAAATCTTTTGATACAAATTTTGACTGATTTTTAAAACTGTTTTATACCAGTTCTTAGCAACCAAACCATTTCTAAAAGAAAATGTTTCATATTTTAAGAAGGGAGCCCTTGAGAGGTAAAGACTAGAAAACAGCCCTGAGAAACCAACCCCCACTCAGTCAACACACACAGTCAAGAGTCTCCTAATTATAGAGAAAAATCCAACTAATTCTAATATAAGAAATAAAAAGGGAATGGACACAGCATTCATGCCAAGATACCATATGAAAAAATGTGATGAAGAACAGGACAACTTTCCTACTGACCTATTCTAGACTGTATTGTGTCCCCCAAAATTCACATTTTGATGTTCTAACCCCCAGTACACCTCAGAATGTGACTACATTTCAATATAGGGCTTTAAATAGGCAATTAGGTTAAATGAGATCATTTGAATGAGCCCTAATCTAATAAGACTGGTGTCCTTAGAATAGGGAGACACCAGGGATATGTATTCACAGAGAAAAGGCCATGTGAGGACACAGCAAAAAGTTAGCCATTTGTAAGCCAAGGAGAGTAGCCTTACGAGAAATCAAACCTGATGGTACCTTGATCTTGGACTTCCAGCCTCCAGAACTATGATGAAATAAATTTCTGTTGTTGAGGTCCTCCAGCCTATAGCATTTTTGTTATGACAGCCCTAGCAAACTAATACAGATTTTTAATACTCAATAGAAAAAAGTTAACAAAAACATGAAATTTTTAACCCAGCAATTAAAAAATGGAACACAGCAGAAATAAGTTATAATCCAACTTTCTAACAAAAACTTCTAAGAAATAATGAAACAATAATAGTTGTAAGGGGAGAATACAAATAGGAAACATAGGAAGTCCATGGAACTTCCTATGGGAAGAACCCAGCTATACACACACACACGTATACATGAAATCACCATGTTGACCAAGAGATAGAACATATCCAGACTGTAGTTGCAATTTTGGTTTCTGTTTTACCCAAAAGTCTTCTGAGATAGTGCCTTTTAATGGCAAAGTCTTTTGTGTTTATATTTTAGTAATTAATGTCTACTTTTTTGCTTTATGTTAAAGACTGTGGCTTGTATCATATTTGGAGTTTGGAAGTTATTGAATTGTTTCTATTATATAATGAATGATACATAGCAAAATATTATAAATGGTACCTAGTGACTTGAAAACAAAGATATATTCCTATTTGTCAGAAATAGAATTCTATGTATTCTCTGTGTGGTTGCATAGACTAGTAGACATGTGTGTTTCCATAGGATTTTATTTGTATTTCCAATGGTTTTAATATGTGCTGTATCTTTAATCAATTAAAAATCCCTTTTCTCTTATAAAAATATATGAGTTCACAAAAGAGAGAAAAATTCTTTTTGTCTAACATAAATCTTCACCTGATACAGTTTAGATATATCTTTTACTCTTAAATTTACAATGAATAATTTTTAGGGATTTTAGCTACCAGTAAAATAATACTGAATCAATTTTATAGATACATAAAATTGGATTTTTTTCTAGTCTTTAATTATAGTCCTATTATTATAGAGGCAAACATATTGATTTGACTTCTACCCAACATTATCTAAAAAAAATTAATATTATAGGAAGAATCCCTTTACTCTTGCCATGACCAGGCAAGGATCAATAGGTAAGTTTTAGGATCATTGTCATCTTAACTTTATTGAGTCATCCAACTCATGAAAAAGGCATATCTCCCTACTTATTTAGGATTTTGGTAACTTATCTCAGTATATTTTATATTTCAGCATATAAATCTTGTACATATTTTATTGTTTTTCCTCGGCATTTGGAGTTTTCAGAGTGTTATTAGAAATACTTTAAATTTCATTTTCAGACTATTGCTAATGAATTATAATTTGCCTTTTAATTTGTTTAATTAATTTAATTCGATCCATAGTTTATCTGTACATACTTTTGGGTTTTCTGCGTATAAAATCTTATCCTCTGCAAAAAAATTTCTATTTCTTCAGTTTCCAGTTATTTCACTTCATTTTTTTTGCATTATACTGAATACAACTTTATAATTAATATTGACAATTCCAAAAGCACTTCACACCTGTCAAAATGACTAAAATCAACAACACAAGAAACAACAGGTGTTGGCAAGGATGTGGAGAAAATGGAACCCTCTTGTACTGTTGGTGGGAATGAAAACTGGTGCAGCCACTGTGGAAAACAGCATGAGGTGCCAAAAAAAGTTAAACATAAAATTACCCTATGATCTAGCAATTGCACTACTAGGTATTTGCCCAAAGAATGCAAAAATACTAACTCAAAGGGATATATGCATGTACAATAGACAAATTATGAAAACAGCCCAAGTGTCCATTGACTGATGAATGGATAAGAGAGAAGTAGTATATATATATATATATATATATATATATATATACACACACATACACATATATATACATGTATATATACACACATATATATACATATATATATACACACATATATACATATACACACACACACACAATGGAATATTACTTAGCCATAAAAAAGAATGAAATCCTGCCATTTGCAACAGTATAGATGGAGCTAGAGAGTTTTATGCTAAGTGAAATAAGTTCAATCAGAGAAAGACAAATACTGTATGATATCATTCATATGTGGAATTTAAGAAACAAAACAAATGAGCAAAGGGGAAGAAAAGAGCAAGGCAAACCAAGAAACAGACTCAGCTATAAAGAACAAACTGATGGTTACCAGAAGGGAGGTGGGTGGGGGGATGGGTGAAATAGGTGATGGGGATTAAGGAATGCACTTGTGATGAGCACTGGGTAATGTATGGAATTGTTGAATCACTATATTGTACACCTGAAGCTAATATTGCACTGTATGTTAACTAACTGAAATTCAAATAAAAACTTGAAACAGACAAAAAACTTAAAAAAATTGAAACCTACATTTTCTTAGAATAAAAGGCTGACATGCTGGTGGGAGTTTAAATTAGTACAACCATTTTGGATAGCTGCCAATTCTACTAAAACTGAATGTATACAGACTTTTAACCTGGCATGTCTACGATTCCCAGGTACATCCCTTACAGAAATGTGCATGTTTCTGTACACCAAAGATATAAAATGTTTATAACAGCACTATTTATTTGATAATCAAAACAAACTATCCAAATGCCCATCAATAATATGAAGTTTAAATAAATTATGGAATATTCATATCATGAAATACTGCCAGAAATGAGAATGAGCAAATTACAATTATATTCAACAGTATGAGCAAATCATACAAACATAGTTGAGGGGGGGAAAAAGCCAGACACAAAAGAGTAGATCCTGTATGAATCCACTGATAAATCAGCATTTGGCAAAACTAATCTATAGTGTTAGGAGTGAAGATAATAGTTGTCCTTGGAAATGGGTGATTAGAAAAGAGAGCTCCTAGAGTGCTGAATATTGTTTCTGGGTGCTGGTAACATGAGCACCATGTATTAAATTCTGAAAATTCATTGAGCTGATCTGTACATTTTTTAAAATGTTTATATGCATTGATAAAAAGTTAAGTTGAAAACAAAGGCTGCACGAGAGTCTCTGTGATTTTTTTTTTTAAGATTTTATTTATTTGTGAGAGAGAGAATGAGAGACAGAGAGCATGAGAGGGAGGAGGGTCAGAGGGAGAAGCAGACTGCCTGCCAAGCAGGGAGCCTGATGTGGGACTCGATCCCAGGACTCCAGGATCATGACCTGAGCCGAAGGCAGTCGCTTAACCAACTGAGCCACCCAGGCGCCCCTCTGTGATTTTTTTTAATCATGAATATGTTTTTACAGATTTCTATCCCATTGCTTTTTCTCATATTGCATATCCATCAAGAGTCACATGCTTCCTGAGTCTATCCTCATAAATGACCTTTTCAACTTTTACTACATTTTATCTTTCACTTGTGACTATTTTGCTTTGGCTAGAGCATTTGTTGAAAAAATTTTGACATGTTTTTCTTATTTCTTTATTGAGGAAAGGTTTATATCATAGATCTAAAATACCAAATTCAGCATTCTCCTTAATGTATCAAAAATTTCTTTTTCAGGATGATGTAATCACTATTAGATGATAAAGTAATTATCTCTATTAGGTAATTAATCACTTTATTTTTCTCTCTTTACATTATATATTCAACTCCCTTGCTTACATTATCAGTTGGCTTTCATTTTTGTTTCATTTTTTCACAAAATTTTTATTACCAGAATTCCTTATACACAGTAAGAAAACATAGCACCAGAGACTCTATTATTTTCCTCTTACTACTGTAACAAAATTACCACTTAGCAATTTAAAACAACACAACGTATTATCT